TTTTTTTCTTTTGCCCCTTTCTATGCAAAACTAAAAATGCCTGACTTGACTATCACGTGACCATTTGACAGCCTTATGTCATGGGTTGCTCAGGTTCAATACAACAAAAGAACACCAGACAAGACAGCTGGTGAGCAGGGAGGAGACGGCATACAGGCAGACAACAGTAACATAGCCTCCAGTGTGCAGAATCCAGCCTTGTAGCTCCGGAGATACCCAGTTTCTCCTATGCTATGAGTTCTGTGAGCTTTTGTTCTCCAGGATCATGCGCAGGCGTACCCCGGATCGCTGATCTATAGTTTGCTGCCTTTGCCATTTTCTCCGGTTTCAATTGCTTTTCTTTTTGATACTTCTGTATTCCAATCATGTGGCGGGATCGAACAAACCTGTAAGCTTATCTATCCACTGGCGTGAACAAATATTGCATGGAAATAGCTAATGTTACCTTTTTACCTTGACATTGTTTAGCTATATCTCCTACCGCCAGTCCTTCGCGCACCACCCTTCCAAGAAACCACGGCACATCGGGGGCGCCTGGAGTGATCATGCAGATAGTACGGGAAACTCAGAGGAACGCCGCGGGCTCATGTCCGGCAGCGGGTTTGAAGATGATGGAGACGCCGTTATAGAGATGGACTTGCTCCCACCTCGGTGGATGGATGTGCAGGACGAAGTAACCGATTATCTGCGAGATATTGCCCAGAAGTCTGCAAAACTGGATAAGCTGCATCAGAAACATGTCTTACCTGGGTTCGGGGACGAGGAAGTCCGGAGAGAAGAAGAAGATATGATTGAACGATTGACTCAAGATATCACGAGAGGGTTTCACGACTGCCAGAGATCGATACAAAGGATTGAGATAATGGCGCGAGAGGCACGAGAACAGGGCTCTGTCAACAAGGGTGAGGATACCATGGCCAGGAATCTACAGATTTCTCTTGCAGCACGGGTTCAGGAAGCTAGTGCAGGGTTCAGAAAGAAACAAAGCACATATCTAAAAAGTGAGTTAGAGACATTGAAGATGCAGTGTCTATTAACTTTTGTCCATAGTTCAAGGCTAATGGTGCTTATTCTCGTGGAAATAGAGCTGCGAGGCATAGATGGAATGGTTTCACCTCTCGAACGATCTAGCTCTCCGGTACAAAACCAATACACGGATCCATCCCTAATAGAATCTGACGCGGACAAGTCATATTCCCAATCAACTCTCCAGCAAACAGCACAACAGCAATTGCAAGTCGGCAGTAATGATGCCGCAATTGCCCAGCGGGAACGTGAAATCAACGATATTGCAAAAGGCATCATTGAACTCTCGGACATCTTCCGCGAGTTGCAGACTATGATCATCGACCAGGGTACGATGCTCGACCGCATTGACTTCAATGTCGAACGGATGGCCCTCGACGTTAAAGGAGCCGATAAGGAATTAAAAGTTGTATGTTTATATCCACTACATTTCTACGAGAACATCCGAAAACTAATAGATCTCCCTAGGCCACAAATTACCAGAGACGAACCACGAAACGAAAAATAATACTTCTACTAGTCCTTCTGGTGGTAGCAATGTTCATTATATTGCTAGTCAAACCCAAGAAACGTGCCGCTGAGTCGGTTTCTCAGCCGCCACCGCCCCCTGAAGCACAGCAAAATTCCCCCCATCAAAGATCTCTCTTGCATAATGATACACCATCTACAATAGGCCGGAGACGAAATTCTGCTCACCATAGACTACTGGTCGACTTATGGAATAGGGCGGACAATCTGTTACCCTCGTAATATAAAAATCATTGACTAATGATATAATTCTTCTCTTTCCTGAGCTTCAGTCATGATTCTCAGGCCCCTTTTTCTTGCTTCTTTCCAGCCTGAATGTATTCTCTCTCACTATTCATCTTAGAATATTGAAGGGAACAAGTTCAGTTCCTGGCTCGCTTCTCAGCGCTTTGTACAACGTTCTACTGTACATATATAGTTACGATATCGATATCTAGAATACCCCTACAATAACATTGAAGAACTTTCTACTATATTCTTTTTTGACTGTAAGCTCTGAGTATACTCCGTACTTCTGATGTTAATAAGTTTGTATGGCGTAAACATAAGGACTGCTCATCTTGATTGCCTTCCGGAGCGAATAATAAGATATTGTCGACCTACCTATACAACATAAAATACATACTATGAGAATGGAGAAACAATAGTACAACCAACAAACCTAACCAGCTATATTAAACATTCCCAACAAATGACCTGGAAATGACGAAGCCGTCAGATCCTTGCATGCATAGCCGTACATAACATAACGTCCTAGGGAATAAATTTGGTCCCCATTTAGTGCTTACTGCTTTCTTGCCTCAATAGCTCGGCTACATCTGCATCTAGATCAGCCATGGCGTCTCCCCCTTCGAATTCAGGGTAGCTATCCTGGGCGTGACTGACTTTCCGCTTTTTGGTGGCTAGCTCACTGGCCGAAGTGTCGTTGGGGGGCGTGTTAGTGGCAGCTTGGAGTGAAGAGAGTGTGGCATTCAAATCAATGGAAGCCATTTGGGCTTGATCTCCAAAATTCCCCGGGGATGGTGCCTTTGTATGACTGGGTATAGTAGATGACTGCTGCTCGTTCTTGTTGTTTGAGCTGGGATTTAGCGTGGGTGATTGAACCGGAGTCAAGGCCTCAACTGGGGGCGGTGTAAGCGCCTCAACAGCAGGAGCTTCCGGCTCTTCACCCCCAAACGAGTTCTTGTGGTCTGACCACGCGGCACCTCCATTTGATTGCTGGGCTGATGGATCATCTGCGGTAAGTCCACGAATTATGGCGTCTTCAACATCTCGTTTCTTGTTTTCCGTCTCCGTTCTACGGGACGATAGTTGCTCAACCTGGGATTTTTCCTTTACCAAAGCTGCCCTGTTGGTGTCGAGAACCTTTTCAAGCCCCTCTATAAGTGACTGGCGGCACTTTATAACCTCGGACACGGAGCTTTCAGCATTAGCAAGCGTCTTAAGAAGCGTGCTTAATCGAGCTGCATATACGGGAGGAGTAGGAATCTCAGCAGATGGGCCGTTCAGATTGTCATATTCGGTGTTTGCAGTTGTCACGGTAGCGTTGGAGGAAACGGAAGCCTTTGACGTCGCAATTTGTAATGGAGCAAGAGGCTGGAGCTCCTGAGGCAGTGAACCTGGAGAATTCGAGAAGAGGGAACCACCTAGGAGAGGCTTCTTCCCTGCGGGCTTAGACTTATCGATCTCTAGAATTTCCAATATTAGCTCACATTGTACACTGGGGAAGATATGTAGCGCATTATACAATAGGTACACACCTTCGACCCGTGCCTCAACGGCGTCTTGTATGGGTTTCTCGAAGATGGAACGCTGTCTCCAGACTTCTACCACACGTCTTAACTTCTGTTGGATCTCGTTTGAAGCACCCTTGAAAGCAGTTGCAGTCGCATCCGCAATAATCTATATTGTATCTGTTAGTTGAAACTCTGGCAAGCCGAAAAAATGTGGTCTAATCGAAGGAGAATCCAACCGGCGAGAATGCAATGAGAAAGTCCTCCTTGCGTCTTCCCTTTGACTGTTGAGCAACCTCTGTCAAGCCAATATATTAGCTTCCCATTCCAAGCAAGAGGAATACAGGTAGCATACCATTAGCTAAGTAGATAAGATTGAGCCTCTTTGGCGGGTTTGCATCGCGTAGTTTCTCTAGCCAAAGCTGGGCTGTCCTGTCTGCGTGTCGCCTATGTTCAACAACCAAAGACCATCAGTCTTCCACACATAGTCAAAATTTACTGCACGAAGGGACCGATATAATTTTTTTTCTCCCCTTACCTATGGAACATGACCCATTGGGCAACAGTGACAATGGATTCCTGCGTCTCGTTGAGAGCTGACAGCTTTGCCTTCACGGCATCGTCAGTATAGGCCATTGCGACCACCACCCAAGGAGAAAACTGAGGCGCAAAGTATTGTTAACCGAATACAGTTTCAGCCGGCGAGCCAGGAACAAGCAAGGTCGAGGCCCTTCCTCTGCCGTGCTCTCGTCGCAGTGAACGCTGAAGCAGCTGGCTGTTGTTGTTGCTGTCGTTTGTTGTTCTTGGAAATTGATTTGAGAGATGATAGTTAAAACCGGCAGATCAGTCACCGCCTGCCCAGAGCGGACGCCTATTGGCCCCTTTTGAAGTGAAAGCTCCAACACCCGCTGGGCCTCGCTTTTGACAGTTATCCAAAGCCACGACGACAACAAGCAGAGCAGAAGCCGAGCCAGGACACGACGCGGTAGCTGAAGAGGCTGGAATGAGAGACAGCCGCCGATAGACCTTCTCCCTCTCGCACTCGCTTCATCTTGTTAACTAGCTGGTTATCTGTTTTATTAACTAACTGGCTTTCTTCTTTCTTACGACCTTATAACGTCTCTCTTTATCTCTCTCTACTTCAGTGCCGCAGCTCAGGCATCATCACCATGGCCGACCGATTCCCTGCCCTTGACGACATTACTGGAGGTAGGAGAATTTCTGAAGACTTGCCAGACGATGGTTTAAGTACCAGTTATAGAGCCAAGCTGACCGCGGCGGCATTACAACAGACGAGCCGATTCCAACCCCGGGGGGATCAGGCAACAAAGCCAGCGAGGACGACAGCGACTTCCTTGCTCGTGAGCGTGCAGCATTAGGAGATGACGCTGATCAGTTTATTTCGGCCAGCGATAACAGACCCTCTGCCACAGTCGAAGATGACGATCTGCTTGGAGGAGGAGGTGGTGGTGGTGACGATATGGTGGCCCATGATGATAACTCTGGATTTGAGTCGAGCTACCCAGCCATTGAATCGCAGAACGAGGTAGGCGCTCTGCCTTGTATAGTGTTCTCTCCTGCCCCTCTATATTAATATCACTTTTTACAATAGAACGTAGCTCCTGGCGGCACCATCACCGGAGTTGACTCGCCCTTCCAACCGTCATATTCCGGTCATAACCAAGAGCCGGAGGAGGAATCGGAGGCCGTCCGGTAAATACCCCCTCGTTATTCTTGCGCATGCTACACCCACGAGATACAAAAAGAGATAAGTAACTGATATGCGGGGTCTAGTGAATGGCGGGAAAAGCGAGATGCAGAGCTATCCCGTCGGGCGGAGGCATCTGCTGAGAAGAAGGCGGCAACCGTCTCTAAAGCTCAGCAAGATATTGATGATTATTACGAATCCTACAACAAACGTACTGACAAGGCCCGCGAGCGCACTCGAGCAGAAGCAGAGGAGTTCCTCGCAAACAGAGAAGATACCGCTGCTGGTGGAACAAGCTGGGAGCGGATTGCCAAACTTGTCGATGTCAGTGGAAAGGGAATCAAGGGCGGTGCAAGTGGTTCTGGCAAAGAACGGTTCAGAGAACTTCTGCTGGCACTGAAGAAAGACGAGAACGCTCCAGGAGCCACTGGGGTTTAGCTTAGATATAAAAAAGCCGAGCACTCCCTAACTATCACCACAGGTAATATCTACCTATTCCACCTGGCTTATGACCCAAGGACTATTGATTTCTTATTTGCACTCTTCTCTGGTGCATTCTCGCCTTGCTCTCTTCGCTCTTTATTCATACAATGGGAGACAGCCGAGCCAAAATATGTATAATCAAGTGTTTATTACCTGGCTTTGGCAATGGGATAGGTATTGTTACAAGTCCAATATAAACTCAAGTACAAAATCGCCGAAGCAAACCAAAGCTGTCATTATATATCCAAAAAACAGAGCTGGTTTAGTATACATTTTCGTGTCCCAATGCAAAGCTGTCTACAGCAGATTGGAGACAAACCATTTCATGAATTCTAACCATAGTGCAATGAAGGCAGAAAAAAAAAAAAGGGATACTGAAATCTGGACAAAGCTGATGAATATAGCAGGGAAAAAGCGAAAGTATGTAAGCGATGGTACAGAAACTGTCCATGGATATGCAGCAAAGATTGTATGCAGTTTGGGTATATGATAGCTCAATCCCTGACAATAAAAGCCGATAGGGGATAAATATAAATGAGGAAGCAAGGACAGGTTATCAATATGCTCAGCTCGCAGAACCTCCGTTGGGTAGTGGGAGAAGCTTTTCTTGCGAATCTGGTCGCTCCTTAAACATTATATCTTTCAACCAATCCACCGCCTTGCCGCATTGGGGTTCGACGTAGGTAGCCCACATATGGGCAACGAGGTAAAGAACAGCGTAAAAGATTGGCAGAATAAAGATGAAAGCCATAGGGCTGGCTCTTCCGAGCTGAAGGAGTTCGCCCTTTTCATTCCTTACTGGAATCCGTGTAGCACTTTCACCATACACCATCCAGGATAAGATGGTTCTAATCAGAATGTTATGGAGCAAGTAGACAGGGAAAGAGACACGCCCGAGGAAGTTGAAGAGTGGCAGGGTGAGAAAGCGTCGAGCGTTCCTTGAGAAGAATATGCCCAACATCAAGGTGCAGGTTCCAAGAGATGAGGCATAGCGACTGTGATCTGCATTTGCAGGAGTGATAGCGACAATGAAGGTGCGGATAGCGGCAGACCACC